CTCTGCCTGCTGCTCGCCCTGGGCTGCCTGCGCGCCGCCGCCCACGGTGAGTGCGGGCCGGGGCCGGGCGGGGGGAGCTGGGCTGCTTTTCTCTTCCTTCTTCCCCACCCCACTATTTATTTATTTATATATTTATTTATCTCCTTTTTTATTATTTTATTTTCCTTTGCGCCTGGATTACGCAGCCGCCGGGGGCTGCTTCCCCCCAGCCCTTCACCCCACCGCTCCGCACCCCGATGGGCCCCAAGCTGGAGTATGGGTCGGACCGGAGCCCCTCTGGCTTGCCCTCGGGGTGGCCTTGGTCCCCGCGAGTGCCGCGGGGCGGCTGCGTTTCCCCTGCGACGCCTGCTGCTCAGGGAGGGTCTGTGTACCCGGACCTTACTGGGAGGCTTGAGGGTTTCCTACTGCGGGGAGGAGCAGGAGCCCCTGGAAGGCTTGCAGCGATGGAGGTGCTGTCAAACTACTCCACAACTTTGGCTTTGTGGCATCCAGCAGCGCTGGCAGGGCTCTAGTTCAGGGCCGGTTGCAACCACCATAAGGGATCTCCACCTGGTGGCAAGGTTGAGTCTTGCCAGCCCGGGATCCTGTCTAGCAAGCGTGGCTCTTGCTGGTAGTGCTGAGTGTTGCTGAGTGCCCCAAGGTTGTCTCCTAACATGGAAGCCATTACCACTATGGCACTGGAATGTATGCATTAAGCTAATTGGATAGTCAATTAAACATATTTTCCACTTGACTGGAGGTAGTAATCAGTTGGCTGACCCCTTCCTTCCTGAAGGGATTGAGGTCCAAGCTCCTCTTCTAGGTGGGAAGCAGGCCATTGATGTCAGTATCGTTGTATGGCATTTGAGATGGAGGTCTGAGCGAGCTAAGTGAGCCTGTTTAGGGACTAGCTGGAAGATCAGTAGCTTAAGTGTCAGATCTTGGTTGTGTTGGCAAAGTGTGCTTACAGGTGGTTTGATCTTGTAGTCCTAACAGCGTGAAATAGTTTTGATCTGTCAGGTGGAGCACAGCTAGGGGCGTGTTGCATCCAGTCCTCATACAAGGAGCTGTGGAGGAAGAAGAGGGAAGTGTCTGTCTGGTCAACTGTCAGTACCTGTTTCTGTACACTACTCCCATGTCCGGTCTAAGCAGACAGAGACCTTTTGACTAGACAGCCCTAGCATGAAGGGCCGAACTGGCTGGCACTGAAACAGCTAGTCGCTGTTGCCAAAAATCCTGACGAGAGATATGAAACGAAGGGTGACAGGAGTCCACCAGAAGCTGAAGTCTGGTTCTTCCCTCAATCTGAAATAGTGGCCCCAGCAGCTTTCTCCTGCTAATACTTGTAGTTGCCAGGGTCTTCAGGCAATAGAAGCTAGTTCCTGTCTGAGCTCTCACAGGGTTTCCCAATCATTATTGCAAGCTTTTCTGGGACTTGGTGTCAGATGACGGCACACAAGTGTCACATGTTTGAGGCTGCCTAGACAAGTAATCTGACAACTTGCTCAAGGGGCTGAGACAAACGGTCAGAGCAGGGGTAACTAGAGAAAGCAATTCTTAGTTTAACTTGGGTAGCTGTTGTAGCTCTGCTCCTTCAGCCTGCACATATTACTGCTTATAAACCAGCCTCTAGTGAGTATCCGTCTGAGGAACACTAATATTAACGTTAGCAGTCACAGGCTACGTAGCTACTGATTCTCTGCATCTTTTTCTTCTCTCCTCTAAGCCTTACCTCAAAGAGGAGGAAAGGTGTGAGAGGGAGCTTATAGTGTTTAATTCACACATGAACAGGAGCTTTGAATTCATGGTTAGCTGGTACTGATCTTAAAATCACTAAGTGTCTAATGCCTGGAGCTGCAACAGAAGTTGCTTCAAGCAGCAGTAGACTAGACTACTGTTGCAGTGTCAGGACTAAATGGTTACCTGGTATTGCAGGACTGTGCTTCATGTAAGAAAAGGGACCATACTTAGTGTCTGGAAGTAACCTCTATCTTAACTGGAGCTTACTTCAAGTGGCCTCTACAGTTTAACAGCCATCTCCAGGAGCAGCAACAGATGATGACCTCTACCTTCCTGCACCTGTGTGGGTGTTAGATGCTCTCAGTTGTCTGCTTGTCCATGAGCTAAGAAGAGTAGTTACTCTGACATTTCGTTTGGCATAGACTGGAGAGATGACATTTTCTTGGAATGGCTTCTTGCAATGGTCTTAATTATAGAGTTAAAGTCGTACTCCAAGCTTGGTTATTGTTTCATTTTGTTGTGTGTAGCTTCACTGTTCTGTTTGGTTGAAGTGATGTTATATTTGTAATCACAATGTGCTATGTAATCTTAGCAAGCCTTATCTCTAAGTTATTCTAGTTTGAAATAGAATAACTAAAGACTGGAGTTATTTTGGGATCTCCTGAGTGGCAGGCCTAGTCTAATATCTCTAGTAGGCTATTTTGGGAAAGGTTGACTGTTCTCACTCTGAAAGCCTGAGTGAGCATGTCTGAAAATTAGCAGGAGTCAGTCATTTCATATATAAGTAATAACTGGAATAATGTGTGACCAGGGTTTGCAAGCAGCAGGCTACCTCTCTTAGAGGTAACTGGACAACTCATAGGTGATCTTAGTATGTGAGAAAGTTGATAGCCATGGTTCCTGCAGGCTTTCTAAGCTGCCTGGCATGAGCCTTCTAGCACAACGAGCTAGTGCTAACTCAACAGCCCTTGACAAAACAGTGGTAGCTTTGCAAAGTCATGCTATTAAAAGGTTCACACTGGTGTAACTCCCACTCTGAAAAGGGGTGGAGGGTTGGCAATGTAGAGCATGTGAGGGGTTAATCAATTGTTTCATGATAATGGTGTTCAGAGAGTGCCAGTACAAGATATAATGGCTTGACTGACTAGAAGACTTAACTTGTGTGTCAGATACAACCAGTAAGACTGCTGAAATATAAGCAAAGCCTAATAAACTGCTGTTTCAAATCCTTTACCTCTCATGCTAGAGAACAGATAAAATTGCCCTTGTTTTTCTCGCTTGTGTTCTTTCCAGGGCTCACCATTACTTAGTGGCTGATTGCTAGCCAGTATGATGTGAAATGTATCTGTTTCAGGAGGCTGAATACCTTCCGTCTGCTTGGAAACTGTCTTGCATTTTGCATATCATACACAAAAGACATAAGATAACACGTAGCGGTCAACTAAAATTAGATGCCCTTTGCTGGCCTTGGAATGCCAAGACAAAGCACTTCCAATAAATGATGCAATAAACCAGGGAGAAGCAGGAGTCTTGCATCATGCCTCAGACATGTGCAGCCAAAACTAATGCATGAGCTCGTACACTTGCCTGCATGCGTTTCGTGGAGCAGCTTTGGCTTAGCTGCTGAAGAGACAGGCTGCTGCTGTAGTGACAGTTATAACAGAGCTTCAAGGCATGGTAGCTTCCCCTGAGGGATGAGGTCATATGGCTTCAGAACTAAAATACTCTGGAAAATGTATCTGAACACTAAGCATTGCATGCATAACAGTGCCTGACTCAAGTGTACTAGCAGACTGAGAATCCTTATCAGTTGGGAGAACAACAGAATTGGTTCCACAAGGTAGTGGCAAATTTTTTTTGCTCTCCTAACATCATGTTTGACCTAGCTTTAATAAGCAAGATCTGGAAAAGTCATCACACTTCCTTTTTTTTTTTCCTTTTTTCTGTATACTGAGGAACTTGTCTTGGTGCCCTTGTTTGTGAGGACTTTAACAACCAGATGGTGGCAACTAACTCTGTCCTCCCCGATTATTTTCCAGGGGGCAGGGCTACTGCTGCTGGAGTAACTTGTATCAAGAAAAACTGTTGTTCAGCTACAGGGCAGATTGCTAAACTATCTCACTACAGACATCTCCGGGTTCCTGTTACAATGCATTAGCAACAGAGTAATGAAATGCTAATCCAACTTGATGTTAGTCACAGTTGAACCCAGTTTGCTCCAAGTCTGAAGAGCTTGAAGAGTGCAATACTAGGCTTCAGAGAGCAAAAATCAATAAATGCATGCATCCCACTACAACTTGCAAATTTGGAAAGCTCAATAGTGGGAACACTAAGGATGGTTTACTGCCGTCCTGCAGGCATGCTGTCACGTTGCTTAAACATTGTGCTTATATGAAAACTTTTCCTGTCATAATTACAATGACTACAGTCAAAAGTCTCAGAGCTCAGATCTGGTCTCATGCTGATGTTGTTTGGTTTATTAAGTTGGATATCTTCCTTCCCCCACTGCTAATTCCAAGAAGTTTTGCCAGACGGTATCAGGGCTCAAGTTTATCTTCTCATTGAAGGTGCAAGAGCAAAATGTGAGGAATCCCAGTTCCCGTGTAGTAATGGACGCTGTATTCCTTTACTCTGGAAATGTGATGGTGATGAAGACTGTTCAGATAGCAGTGATGAGACTGCTTGTGGTAAGTACTTGGGCAAAAGCAGTATCTTGATAGTAGTACTTGCTAGTTAGCCTTCATGTTGGAGGAGGTGGGGATTAGCAGGTTGGATGGTGTCCTACGGACAGAGATGCTTATTCTCTCTAGCACCTCCATTGCCTGTTGAACTACAGAGTGGAGGACAAACTCCCTAGAGCTGCAGGGGGGTCTATCTTGATGCCTTGTATCCCTCTGATACAGTTAAACTTCACTGAACACTGCATCTGCTGGAATTGGTACCTGAGGCAAAAGCTCATGACAAAAACTCTTAATTTGCCGGGACAGTGATTGTGAAGAATAGACTGCAATGCTTTTCTCTTATTGCTTTAAGATGTGGTTGAAATTGGTTGCTGTTAGCACTTAGATACTTGGTAATCCATTACTAAATATCTCTTTCCTGCATGAAAGCAATTCTGTTCAGCCCCTGTAAACACTAAGTCTACTTCTGGCTGGCAGCTCTTGCTTTAAGAATACCTGGAGACCAGGGCAGGTGACTAGATGTACTTAAACAAGGTGAAATGGACTCCCTTGCCAACACTGGTGTGGCTGAATTGTCAGTCTGCTCAAGCAAGTCTAAAAAGCTATCTGAGGGCTATATAGCACGGCACCTCTAATGGCACTGCAAATCAAATGCCTGGATAGTAAACTGTTAAAGTTTAAAATCCAAATATTAATATTCTTAATCCTTGCTGCAACTCAGGTTTGTTCCAAGTCGCAGCTCTTTTAGCAGCGTAGTTACCCTTAACAGCAGCACTCCTTCAGTCTGTGCTTGCAGGAAGATAAATGTTTCTCTCTGCACCAGTTTTAACTCTCCAGGAAGTGTTATGCAACACTGTCATTAGACAGGTGGAAGAAGACATCAGGCATTCAAGAGCTATAGGTGCTACATTACTTGGCTAGAGCACCGGAGCGCGTCTCTTGCTGCAGCAAGCAAGCTTAACCTCTGGTTTAGACACCAGAGGTAAGTGGCTGTCCTTCTCCCTTGCAGTAAAGAAGACATGTGCTGAATCTGATTTTGTGTGCAACAGTGGTCAGTGTGTGCCTAACAGGTGGCAGTGTGATGGGGATCCGGACTGCGAGGATGGATCCGACGAGAGTGCTGAGCTGTGCCGTAAGTGAGCCTGGCCCGTCAGCGCCGGTGGGGGGAAATCTGCGGGGTGGTGGCAGGGGGAGTGTTTCGAGTTCATGCCTGCCTGCAGCCTGGCTCGCTTCCCACAAGAAGGAAGTGCTCGCTCTGGAGAGCGCCTGCGTAAGTGATAGCTTGGCTGTGGCCAAATTAGCAACTTGACAAGACTTTTTTTGCTTACTAAAAGGGTTCAGAAATGAGTGGGGAATCTGCCCTTGTGGTTGATAGCTGATAGCAAGGTTCACCAAGGTTTTCCTAACAGTAAGGAGCACTAAGCACAGCACTGGAGCCTTGAGTGTTACAGTGGCCTGTTCACTGAGTGATCAGTCCTCTTAGAAAACTAGTTGCAAAATAACCAGACCTAGAGCAGGAACTGAGTGACTGAATACATGCGGAGAAGAAAGCAAAAGTACAAAGGCCTAACTAGAAGCCCTTGGAATATACCCTAATCTTAAGTGTTATAACTAATCTAGAAATCTAGATCCACGGGATCTATAAAGCTTCATTTATCTGTATCGATAGGATCTGCACTGAAGAGCAAACCCTAGGCTTCAGCCCCAGGCCCTGCTGCACATTGGCATTACTGCTGCATGCTGTCTGTGACTACTTGTTACAGCACAACCTTCTGCAGTATAACTGGAATGCAGTAACAAAACTGCCACCACAAAGATACTCTTACTAAAAATTAACCTATGAGGAACTGGAAGTGCTTTTTTTACTGAGTAGTACAGACTAAAGTAACATCTTCCATGATGCAGCCATTGATTTAGATGGATGCTGACACCTAACTGCAATTATGTCCAGAGTGGAGCCTTTCAGACTCAACTTCAGGAGGACTGCTGAAACCCAAGATCAGTAGTTCTTAAGTTTCAGGACTTTTAAATTGAACTTAAACTTTTTCCAATAGATATGAGAACATGCCGGGTAAATGAAATCAGCTGTGGTCCTCAGTCAACCCAGTGTATCCCAGTGTCCTGGAAATGTGATGGTGAAAAAGACTGTGACAGTGGAGAAGATGAAGAGAATTGTGGTAAGGGAAGAAAGGAATGGTGGCTGCATAACTCTATTTGAAATTGACTTGACCTGAAAGGAGCTAGCTGGGCAGTATACCTGGGAAGATAAGTCTCTCATAGTATCAATATCTCCTTAACGCTACGTTCATGTTTGTATTGCAGACTCATTCTAACGCTCCTGTGTCCTGCTACATTCAGCAGTACAGAAGTAGAGGCTATTCAACACTTGCGGTCAAAACTAGCCAGAAGTCACAGTAGTCATAGGCTTAGTTGCATGTGAGGCAAACCATCAAATTGCTCTCAGCAGAGTTTCTCAGCACATAACTCTAGTTGCTGATTACATTAACAATCTTGTATCTTAAAAATGTGGTAGTGATTTGAAACCAGCCTGTAGGAAGCAGCTGATTTGCTTAATGTGGCTAGCTGGAGTATTTTCATGTTTACCTGAAAGTACAGATTAGGGAGCTGATTTCAGGTGTTGCAAGGGACAGCTCCAGGGCAGTACTCGAGCAGAGCTGCCACTGCCAGCCTCAGTGCAGCCTCAGCCTTGTTGTGATGAGCTGCCAACACAGCAGCTGCCTGAGGTGTCCCCAGACAAGTTTGCTGTGAGCAAAGCCACAGGGCTGACTTCTGTCAGCACTGCCTTACCTTCATAGGCTAACAATATACTGAACTCCAGACTTCTGCTCTACATCCATGGGGTAGCTGCCATACTTGGCAAGCAAATGTCTTTATCTGACAAGTAAATCTACAGGCAATGTTTCTAATGGAGCGGATAAAACTATCAGCCTAGGCATACTGAGCTGCTAGCTACACTGCTACAAAACAAGCATAATTGGTACTGCCGTAAGTTGTGTGGATGTGCTAACTGCCACAGGATCAAGTGTGCAAGATCTTGATCCGTTTTCCCCAGTAGTCCAGGCAAATGGTCCACTGCCCTGCTGGGGACCAGCACAAAGCACTTCAATTTCAAACTACAGTGCATGCTGACCATCTGGCTATCTAAACCATAGTCTCTACTCCGGAGCTGGCAATTCTCTTACCTTCTATCTCTGATTCACAGAGTCTGATCCTGTTCTCCCAGAGGCTAGCGCTCTGAAGCAGAACAGCCGAGCTGCTTCAGAAAGCAGTTCTCTTCACTCAGTAGCACAACTGATGCCTCTTGCTCGTTAGAACAGCTAAGAAAATAAGGACAGTCTCTGCAGGGCTCAAGTGTCCTGCACATGGCTAGTTAGGCTCTCCCAGAGCCTTACGCAGGATGCTGACCTATTGTCAGCTGACGAAGCAAGGGACCTGCAAAGTGAAATACTCTTTACAAAATCTGCTTTATTGTGATAACCTGCTAATCTCTTACTCCTGTTACTCCAGGCAATGTGACCTGTAGTCCAGCAGAGTTCACATGCAGTAGTGGGCAGTGTATTTCCAAGAGCTTTGTCTGCAATGGCCAAGATGACTGCAGTGATGGCAGTGATGAGCTGGAGTGTGCACCCCCCACCTGCGGTGCTCATGAGTTCCAGTGCAAGAGCTCCACTTGCATCCCTGTCAGCTGGGTGTGTGATGATGACGCTGACTGCTCTGACCAGTCAGATGAATCTCTAGAGCAGTGTGGCCGCCAGCCTGCCCCTCCTGTGAAATGCTCTGCCAGTGAGGTGCAATGCAGCTCGGGTGAATGCATCCACAAGAAGTGGCGCTGTGATGGAGATCCTGACTGCAAGGATGGAAGTGATGAAATCAACTGCCGTAAGTCAGCTTGCTCCTTCCTCTAAAGGAGGTGCTGCTTTTGCACCTATCTAGTCCTTCATCAGTCCATTGGAATTAACGCTATGGTGGCTCTGTCCTTAGCTTCTCGAACCTGCCGACCAGACCAGTTCAGATGTGAAGATGGGAACTGTATCCATGGGAGTAGGCAATGCAATGGTGTGAGAGACTGTCTGGATGGCACTGATGAAGCTAGTTGCAACAATGGTAAGTGTGGAAGTAAGCAAGGATAAAGATGTTGCAGAATCTCTTTTGAAGTTGGTCGTCCCCTCACAATCTTCATCTCAGTCATTCAGTGCTCTGGACCTGGCAAATTCAAGTGCAGAAGTGGAGAATGTATAGACATCAGTAAAGTGTGTAACCAGCAGAGGGACTGCAAGGACTGGAGTGATGAGCCCCTCAAGGAATGTAGTAAGTGAACAAATTCATTGCATGATGTTGACCACTAGGCAGACTTGGATCCTGCTTTTGACCTGGTGGATGTCAGACTGTGGCATGTCTATCGACATTGTCTTAGTGACAAGAAAACGGCCAAAAGCAATCAGCTAGTCAATAGGCTAGCTTTACCCTAGCCAAACAGGCTATTGGGATGACTTTGCCATGGCTACAAGGCACTTGAGCTCTTGTGCTTTCCTACGGAAGCTTCCAGAAGCTTCATCTTGGTCTACTGTTATCAACTTGTAACACAAGCAACATTAATAGCTGAGCGAATAAGGATCTTGAGGATGCTCCCTTGCCCATGACTTCAAGGGCCAATGGGATTTAGCAGCTGTGGCAGGTATCTTTAGAAGATGTATGGGTATCTGGTAAAGCACTCATGACTAAGACTTTTAAAGACTAAATATATGTACCATCTAAGAACAAGCCAATGCTTCTCTTCTAGACATAAATGAATGTCTGGTGAACAATGGTGGATGCTCTCATATCTGCAGAGACCTTGTTATTGGCTATGAATGTGACTGCCCAGCTGGGTTTGAACTTGTAGACAGGAGAACATGTGGAGGCAAGTATCAGCTATGTTAATCTGGACCTCACTGATTTTTGGGAATGAGAAAAAATGAAAGTATGTTGTTTTTGCAGATATTGATGAATGCCAAAACCCAGGTATCTGTAGTCAAATTTGTATCAACCTGAAAGGTGGCTACAAATGTGAATGTAGTCGTGGCTATCAGATGGATCTTGCTACTGGAGTGTGCAAAGCAGTAGGTAAGCATTGGCATAAGATTTCTGAACCCCTCAAGCGTGACAGCCACTTTAAAAGGAGGTACCATATAAGGTACTACCTATGCTATTGCAGCTGTTATGACACTGGTTAGCATGCTGTTTTCCATGTAACCTTTAAAGACCTGAATAACCCTAACATCCCCACCACCACCAATCAAGTTGTGGAAGGAGAGACAGATGAGGTTAGGCATGGTGAAGACCCATGTCAGCATCCAGTAGCATTAGGGGAACAGCAAATGCTGCAACTCTTAAACATGTCTTAAAAAAAGAGTATGTGACTGCTTATCTAGAACTACAAATAACCTGTGCGCACTCTTTTCACAGGGAAGGAGCCATGTCTAATTTTCACCAACCGCCGGGATATCAGGAAGATCGGCCTTGAAAGGAAAGAATATATTCAGCTAGTAGAGCAGCTAAGAAACACTATAGCTCTAGATGCTGACATTGCTGAGCAAAAGCTCTATTGGGCTGACTTCAGCCAAAAAGCAATCTTCAGGTAAATAGACTGTCTGAAGTCTTAGTTTCTGAATCCTAGAGTGCTTGCCCTAAGCATCTTGCCCTAAGCATCTTACCTAAGAGCCTGCTCTAAACTTTGGTGCTGAGAACTAGATTCCTGATGTCCTAAACTAAAAGAGTAAGTACAGCAGGTGCAGGTTCCAGTCAATAGCTATGTTTAGGCTAGTTGCAATTCCCATTAACTGTTGCTAAGACTGAATGAGAAGGCACCTTGTGGAAAGTTGCAAGTGCATTTTCTAGACTGTCTGCCTAAGATCTATATGCTGTATTTGCTGAGGCATACTGAACAGTAGTGTCTGTGGAGGGAGCAGTGAAAGCAAGTAATTCTTGTCTTCCAGTGCCTCTATTGATACCCGTGACAAAGTTGGAAAGCACATCAGAATCCTAGACAACATACACAGCCCGGCTGGAATTGCTGTTGACTGGATTTACAAGAACATCTACTGGACCGACTCAGCTGCAAAGACCATTTCGGTGGCTAGCCTAGATGGCACGAAAAGGAAGGCTCTGTTTTTCTCTGAGCTGAGAGAGCCAGCTTCCATAGCTGTAGACCCTCTCTCTGGGTAAGTATCTGTCCTGGTTCTCCAAGATCAGACCTGCAAGCTTCTCCATATGTCCTGATAACTGACTTTGGTAGCCTTTATCTAGGTACTCATTAGCAAATGATCATAATTAAGCTTTGAATGCTACATAGTACTCTAGTGCATCATATGACTTAAATTCTCCTTCACAGCTTTATGTACTGGTCAGACTGGGGTGAGCCAGCAAAAATTGA